ATATTCTCAGGAGCGGCATGTACAGAACAAAGAAATTGTGTTTATTTTCCTGTGGAATGAACACCATATGACCCATCCCTGGGCATATCACATTCTAGCAGAGACATTGAGAAAATCAAGTTCTTTCTCATAAGAACCAAAGACCAACATGACAGAGAAACGATGACAAAAGCTTAGTGGAATCATGGCAGACTCTGTTTCAACTACTTGGAGAACTTCTACATGGAAGAAAGTGGCATTGTGTGTAGCTCCAGAAGAAAGTATCCCAAGTGCTTTGGGATGAGTAGAGCCAATAGAAGCAAGGCTGGGACAGTGGAAGTGAGGGTATGTGCAGAGCTGAAGCACAGAAATGATTGTTGTCATGAGTAAGCACCAAGCCAAAAGGATGTCCCAGCCCAGACAATTCCTCTACTTAGCACAATATTGGCCAGAATTAATTAAGTCAATGATGATGATAGCAGGGAATCACAGGCAATGAGAAGTGGACAAGGCAGAGATGAAGGGAGAAGAGAGTTAGGAGGAGAGAAAAGAGAATGATGAAGGACAGAAGGATCCTGAGTGCTGAGCTGAAGGGTTTGCATATGACCCTCATTGTCTGGCTGTCTTTCCTTCCTCTACCATGAGGGCACTCCCCAGGACAGCATCCCCCACCCTCATCATCACAACAACACCAACCAGCATGTCTAAGCTGTTGATCAAAGTAATATTACATCTTTCCTGGGTTGTCAAAATTGTATAAATAATCTGATTTTCATCTGAATGATGGTTCTTATTGTAAAAGAGATGGAGGAGAGGAGAAAGAAGAGAATCTAGTACTAACAGATGAAAAAAGAGCCCTGGGGAGACTCTTCCTTTCTGCAAGTTCAGTCTGGCAGATAAGTGAAGGATGAAATTGAGAAGAGCCAGTGAAGATGAAGGACGACCAGGGTAAAGTAAGTGAATATACTGAAGGCACAAGCAATGTTTTACCAAACGGAATGGAGAAAAGGAAATAGTTGGGAAGGATAGTTAGGTGACATCCTGTATATTTGATGAGTGATTGGATAAATAAGCATGATAGAGGGATCTAAACTGACTTTCCGATGTCTGGCATGGGGGACTAACTGTGATATCTACTATACGATAGGGAAGCCAGGAGGATGCCTAGGTTCACAAGGAAGAATGGAGACGTGGAGAGAGAGAAACAGACACAGCGTTTGGTCTAGAGCTTGTCTGAAAGTATCAAGAAAATTTCTCAGTATAAGGAAGTTTTTAAATAATGAAAGTTCTAAAACACCAAAATGAGATGAAGTGGAAAAATAACCCTCTGCTTCTCCCTGAGGGTGAAGGAAAATCTGGTGACTGCGTGATTTATTTTCACTCCAAAGCACCTGTCTTGCAAAGCAAGGGCAAATATGCATCCTCCCCACAGATCTGCCTATTCACAACCTACCTGACACTCCTGCTGACATATGTTCAGATTTGTTCTAGCCATTGCCTTAGAACAGGTGAAATCTGAGGAGGAAGCCGAAGAGGAACTACGCAAAGGTGTGGGAGTGGGGTCTTCATAGAATAGTCATGTGCTTTTGTGAGGTGGGTAAGTCAAGGTCTGCATTCTACTTACCTGGTTTGTGACTGCATAAGCACATTCTCCAAGGTTGTTTTCTGATTTGTGTTTGTTTCTTTGTCAAAGTTTTTGGGAAATGTTAACCTACCACAGATGAACTGAGCAATAATAATGTACTATCATGGCCATTTATTGATGCCTTATTCTGAAGCCTAACCCATTAGCTGCTAGGCTCTGTCCTTGATAGGTTTCAGAATGACTGAATGAGTTAAGGAAAGAATTACGGAGCCCATGGGAGAGAATATGTTGTTTTATTTACACATAGGAATAAAAACAATGCTTGGAGAAGTTAAGCAATGTGCACATAAGAACCATGTATTCCTCAGCTACTCTATACTGTGCTTTAGTGTGAAATAGGAAAGGGATACTATTTGGGTGGTTGTAGCCCCATAAGCACAAGTTTCGTTAATGGAGTGTCTGCAGGAAGTCAGGCCATACTTGCCCTCTCCGCTGAGTGCCTTCACACAGGGCACAGTTTGTATACAGCATTTAAGTTATGGTAACAGGATTTTATCTCAGGCCTTCTGACTTTACATGTTTGTCTCTTCATTAACGATTAACCTGCTTTAATACTAATGCACATCACTCCATCCCCTCCAAATGTAGTGGGGGGGGGAAGCATAATTTTCAAGGTAATTGTTAAAACAAAGTAACCCAACTTTCTCATGTTGTTAATAATCAGGAAATAATCAAATTCAGGATGAGCTATTGTATAAGTTTTTGAGTAAGTCAGAATAAACAGTGGAGACAATGATTGAGAAGGGAGTCACAGGCTGACATGAAATGAGAGATGCTAAATTATCCTGAAAGTCAGAGAATAGGGAGGCTGAGAGTGGAGATGCTGTATTCTCTGAACACCACGCTTTGGCAATCCCACCTCCTCATTATAGAAATGCTATGTCCATCCACTCATTTACCCTTTCCTTTGTTCATCAGGGATTTACTGATCACATACTACATTGCAGGCACAGCAAAAGGCATTATATATACAGTGATTAATAATAATACATAGACCCAGTCTTCAAAAAATTTATCACTAATAAACTTTTTTTTAGTGGTATATAAATTTATTACAACATAATTTGAAAATGTCTAGTAATAAAGTGTCATGTGAGACCAGGGCCAATCATGAATAACTTTTCTGAATGATACAGGGAGGCATAATTAAGATGGGTCTTCAGGTGTGAGACAAGCTTTTATGAAGAGAAAATGGAAGAAGGAAGTCAAGGCAAAGGGCAGTGTCTGCAAAGCTTCAGCAGCACAGAGGGGCTTGGATTCAGCATTGAATGGGGAGGTTACAGTAGAGAATGTGGAGCATGAAGGGTGTGGAGAATGTGAGTCTGGGGAGGCAGGTTGGGGCCAGAGGCAAAGTGCTTTATGTCACTAAAACCTAAGGTGAGGAGATACCATCACCATCTGCCCAGCAGGTACATACTGATTTTAGCATATCACAAAGGGCTCTGACTTTGCTCATTTCTTTGGAGGCCTTTCAGAGAAAGAATTATACCTGTTAACGCTGTAATGGACCTTAAGGTCTTTAGACTCAAAGAGCTCTGAGTTCAAATCCTTACTCTGCTATTGTGTGACATTTGGGGGCAAAACTTTTCTCTTCTAAGAGACTCAATGTCTTTATTTGTACAGCAGAACTGATGGAAGCTCATAGAACTAAAATGATGCCTATGAGTTGGCCCATGGAGCCTCTTGTACATAGGACACAAATTGTAAACACAGTCACTATTCAATCTCCCCTTCATTTAATTCCCTCCACTTCCATCAGTAGAATTAATTTGCCCAAGAATTTTGGTCATCACAGGCCTTTCAAGAAGGAAATTTTACAACATGGTATACAAACTCTGCCAGAAAATATTTTTTTCAAATGTATAGGAATAACTGGCAAACTGAAAATCAAATAAAGGATGCAGCACCTTTCACAATAGCTTCAAAGAAAATTAAATATCTAGGAATGTATTAATGAAGCAGATGGGAGACATATATATACAGAACTACAAACACAGATAAAAGAAATTATAGAAGATGTTAACAGATGGAAACATCTTCCATGCTCATGGATTGGCAGAATCAATATTGTTAAAATGTTCATACTACCTAAACTGATCTACAGAATTAATACCATCCCTATCAAGACACCATCATCATTCTTTACAGATTTAGAAAAAATAATTCTACCCTTTGTGTGAAACCAGAGAAGATCTCATGTAGCCTAAGCAATCATAAGCAAAAGAACAAATTGGGGGATATTAGTTGACTAGACTTCAATATTTACTACAAGGCTATAGTAACCAAGACAGCATAGGACTGGCACAGAACAGAGATGCAGATATTTGGAACAGGACTGAGAACCCATATATGTAACCATCTGCATATTATTATCTAATCTTAGAAAATGTAGATAAAAACATACAGTAGAGAAAAAAATCTCTATTCAGTAATTGGCTCTGGGACAACTGAATAACCACATGCATAAGGTTGAAACTGGATACCCACCTCACACAAATTAACCTCATGGTGAATAACAGACTTAAACCTAAGGCATGAAACTGTAAGAATTAAGAAGAAAATGTTGGGAAGACTCTTTTAGACATCAGCCTAGGCAAAAAATTTATGAAGACCCCCAAAGCAATCAAAGAAGCAATAAAAATAAATAAGTTGTACCTGATAAAATTTAAAAAGCTTCTGCATAGATTACAAAACTATCATTGGCGCAAATGGACAACCTACAGTATGGGAGAAAATATTTGCTGTCTACATATCCAATAAAAAGCTGATAACAAGAATCTATATAGAACTTAAGAAAATCAACAAGAAAATATCAAACAACCCCATCAATAAAAGGGCTAAGGACATGAACAGAATCTTTTCAAAAGAAGACAGAATAATGGCAAGCAAACATATATAAAAATGTTCCACATCTCTAATCATTAGGGAAATACAAATCAAAACTGCAATGAGATATCATCTAATACCAGTGAGAGATACGAACACTCTTACACTGCTGGTGGGGACTGCAGATTAGTACAATCCTGTGGAAAATAATTTGAAGATACCTCAAAGACCTAAAAATAGAAATACCGTTTGATCCAGCAATCCCCCTACTAAACATATTCCCAAAGGAAAAAAAGACATTTTATAATAACGACATCTGCACTCAAATGTTTATGGCATATTTCATTATTGCGAGAATGTAGAAACAACCCTCCCAGAGAGGGTAATATTGATCAAGCGATTTGAAGCATCAACCTAGAGTTAGACACAAATCCTCTATTATGTACTCTTTGCTGATTGCCAGGGTGGGCACCAAATGAGATAAGCAAGGAGATAATCTGTAGTTAAGCATGTCCCTTCTAAGCCTCTAATAACTCTTTCTGATTTACAGGATGTCTTCAAGGCTATACACCCAAAGCTTGATGTTGTCCAGTTGTACCTTAAGCCACTGCTCATTGGAGAGCTTGCACCAGGAGAGCCCAGCCAGGAGAGAAACAAAAACGTGAGTGAGGTTTCAGGATCCAAGTGTGTGGAAGGATGGAGACATGGCATAGTTACAGGCCAATTTACTCTGTTCTGTGAGAAAGCAGCTGCTGTGCTTGGGTATGCCCACAGCAGAGTAAATGAGTGGATTCTGCATATTTCAAAGCAATGCCTTCCTCTTTTGTCTCAGAACCCTCTTTGAAACAAAAGAATGAACTTCTGGTCTTGGATCAATGAGCACTTCTGTAAGCACCTACTTCATGCCACGCTACTTACACATATAACTTTCTCAAGTGGCTGCTTGTAATTTTGCATTTTATGCCTGTGTCTATGTTCCCTCCTCAACTAAGTTTCATGTGAACAGAGAATCTGTCTGTCTGGCTTATTGCTGTGTCCTCAGAACCTACGTACACAGGATAAAACATATCGTAAGAACTCCATGAATAGCTGTTGAGTGAAAGATGTAAATATTTCTTAACTACAGCTCTTTTATATTTGGGCAAATTGCCATTCAGGGAGAATAAATTAGTTTCATAAAGTCCCATGGCTTGTATATCAAAGAGCTGAGACTTCAAATGTATAGGTATACCTAAGGAATACCTATCCCTTAGGTATTCCCAAGGATGAATGCTGTTCTTTCTTTAATATTTTGACTACATGACATATTGTCTTCACGGGGTCTCTATAAGACTAAAAATTAACCTGTATGGTTTTGCATAAACATTAAAAGGATTTTACCTAATATGTAGCAATTCTATTTTTTGCAGTTTACTTTTTATAAAAGCTTTCATTTGTCTGATTATTAATTTGTTTGAAATAATTAGTACAAAACACTGGTCCATATACAACTCTGAAGCAGAAAGAGTGAAGATTTTATTCCCTCTCTAAGAAATGAGGAGACAGACTCACAGACATAGCAAGGCTCATCTGAGGACAACAACTGGTTAGCTGCAAATCTGAGACTAATGCTTAGGGTCACACTGTGGGCCCATGTGCATCCTGCAGCACAGCTCTGTTTGGAGAGTGGGCTCTGAGGGTGGACAGCCTGAACTCACACCCCAACCCTGCCATTCTCAAGTTGTGTAAGTTTAGGCCAGTTCGCAAACTTCTTTTTGGCTCAGTTTCTCTCCCTGTGAGCAACAATAGGACCAACCTGAGAAGAGTGATTGGGAAGATGGCTGAAAGAAGTAAAGTCATTTGTAGTGCTTACCACAGTGTCTAAAGATAATAAATGTTTCATAAACTTTAAATATCATCTTTATTATTAACGCAATGGCGATACTAATAATTTACAAACTTCCAGATATATCTCTATCATTTGTGTCAGATGGCCCTAGGTTTAAAGGGAAGATGACACAAAGCTCTATTGTTTTTTCTAAAAATTCTCTGTAAGAAAAAGAAAATAACACTAATGGCTGAGAGATATAAGACAATACTATATAAGAGATTATTCATCTCTGGGGTAAAAGATCTACCATAAATTTTCTTTTGTATGTCTATGGGGATTCTCAAGTCACTATGTATAGAAAATTAGTGTTTGAGCAAACTGGGAGTCAGGTGTGGGTTTAGGTCCAGCATCTGTCACTGACTTCCTTATGACTTCAGATCATTCACTCTTCTGGATTTTGATGACTGCCTACCCTGCAATAAATGTGCAGGAATAGATGGCTAGCCTGGGTGCAGCCTAGATATGACTAATTAATTTTAGAAAATTATTGAAATGATCCATGGACACAAGAATTGCAAGGAGGATGGGGGCTTGGGCGATGAATCTATCCAGACTTTTGTCCTGCATCGTGTGCTTGAAAAGTTGCATCAGGCCGGGTGTGATAGTGTATGCCTATCATCCCAGCATTTTTGGAGGCTAAGGAAAGAGGATCACTTCAAGGCTTCAGTGAGCTACTATCATGCCACTGCACTACAGACTGGGAGTTAGAGCAAGACCCTGCCATTAAAAATAAAATAAATTAATAGTTTAATAAGTGAATTTTCAAATGGTATTTTTGACATCTAAAATTGATTTCATAGCTCTTTTTATTTCTAATTTATCTCCTTTCTTATATCTGTACAACCTACTGTCTTTCTTATACCCTGGTCACTTTCTCGACTGTCTTGGTTTGAAACCCATTATACTTAATAAGCCAACAGCTATTTCTTCCCAATTTTCACACTCCAAAGTATGGCATTGTAGGCTGATAAACCAATGCTAATACTGCATATGAACGTACACACATGCACATGCACACAGTGTACTTACACAGAACCACTCTTACCAGTAGATACACACTAATGCCACCGGGATGCTGTCTTGTTTTGAAAGATTTACTGAGCAGCTCTCAGAAAATCCTCCTTATAGCTACTCTAACTGAACTATATTATTCTTTGTTCATCATTTTCTATGAAAGAGCCCTTTTTACACATTAAACACTTGACTTGCACAGCACTTTGTAAACTCTACCAGTAACTATGGTAACGCAGAATCATATAAATGACCAAGTTCCCCAAAGCAAAACCAGAGCATAATCAATACCTAAAACAATGCTGATGGATTAAAAGGCAACTCTTAGGCTTCTGTATCCGTGTACCGAGCCTTTCTCCCCTTCCTCCTCCTCTGCAGAAAACTAATTCTGAGTTCCATCGCAATTTGAGGACAGTTTGCAAGTCACTAATCATCTTTCTCCTCTCCAGAAAAGAAAATTTTCAGAACGTTATTTTGAAAGTTTTGTTCACTGATTTATTGTTTGTTGTTTTTAATTAGGGCAAATTAAATTTATTAATATTAATAAAATTCTGCTTAAGATTCACCTGGGAATGGATGTCTTGAAGCTCTGACTTGGGTGAGACAAAGTCAATACATGTAACCTAAACATTTGTACCTCCTAATATGCTGAAAAAATAAAAAAAGTAAAAAAAAAATTCTACTGACAAAATAAATTTATCATAAATGAACAAAATATAATATTAATGATATAAATTTGTATTCCCTTTTCCCTGAATGAACTAATTATTTTCTTTACTTATTTCACAGTCTGAGTTGGTGAAAGATTTCCAAGAATTGCGGAAGACAGTAGAGGATATGAAGATGTTCGATGTCAACCGGGCGTGGTTCTTCCTCCACTTAGCCCACATCTTGATTTTGGAATTCCTGGCTTGGCTAACAGTGTATCAGTTTGGCAGTGGCTGGTGTGTTACAATATTCATTGCCTTTCTGCTCACAATTTCCCAGGTGAGCAGATATCCTAAGCCCAGGCAGTGTCCTCACAGGATGGCTTCTATCTTCGTCTTCTCTCTTTCCATCGGTGTCAGCTGCTGTCTGAGGCTTCTTGGCCAGATCCTCATCACTTTCAGGCACTAAGCAGCAAGTTACAAAATGTCACTGGGCACAAGTACTCTCATCTGTAAAACGGGGATAAAAATGAATATGAAATTATTCTGAGGACTAAACATACGTGTATGATATCTAGCTCAGTGGAGGGCTTATGGTAAATTTTTAATTAATGACAGTTGCTAATGGTTGTTTCATTTTATTCTCACAATTTCAGTAACTGAAAGTTTGTCCTTGGCCATGTAACACTCAACATTATCTTTCATTAATTAAGGAACCAACATTTATCAATGCATCAGACCATTAATTCTCCAAGAGCAGAGACTGTATCTTATGAGAATAAGAATATGTAAGTCCCTCTGTAAATGATAAACAGCAGCTGGTACTTAGCAGGGTAATTGATAAATCCTTTTGGAATCAAGTGTGGATCTCTGAACATGGCCTTCTGTGGCTGCAACACTGTGTTGTGGATACGAAGGGAAATTAACAAGCTTCATGCCCCTGAGAAAGGAGTCACCTGGTAGAGCAGAGAATCACTCAAACAGGTAAACATACTGCATGACAGGATGGTATTAATGCCAACGAGAGGAACAGTGTGTGCTGTTGGAGTAGAAAGGAATATTTAATTCTCATTTGAACAAGTGGAGAAGATTGTCTAGAGAATAAACAGCAATGTGTTATCAAATTATAGAATTTTGCATGTTAATATTTTTAATGAAAAGTCATATTGCTTTATATCTTTAAAAAGTGTCTTTTGGAAACAAGGAAATAATCCAATAGCTGTTTGGCGCTTAGCAAGAGCTGAGCACTTTGCATCTATGTAATTTGCATAACATCCCACGAGTCAGGTATTACTAGCTCTGTTTACCAGATGAATAACTGATGCTCAGAGCTACCAAGTAACTTGCACAAAGTCATAAAGCTCAACACTGGTAAAGAACAGTTTAGAGTACAAATCTGTCTGACTCCAAAGTCCACAGTCTTTCCAGACCATCCTGGACGATTTTGACAGTGGGAAGGGGAGTATTCAAGGCTGAAAGAACCACTTGGACTAAAGCACAGTGGTTAGAAAAGCAGGCCAGGGTGGAAAATAAAAACTTGGCTTGATTTCAGGTGATATCACCAAGTATTCTCAAATGGGCTCATGAATCTACTATGGGCTTATTTGTTGATTTCTTTTTGAGTTCCTGTCATCTCTAACAACTTTGTCTCTCCTAGGCACAGTGTCTATTTTTGCAGCATGATGCAGGGCACAATTTCATATTTAAGAAATCCAAGTGGAACCATGTGTTGCAAAATTTTGTGATGTGCCATCTCAAGGTATTGGATGTCAGGGAGTAGATTGGGGATTCTTGAATATCATTTCTTCTGTCACTGACTTCCATGTTTGTTTGACTGTGCACTCATATCAGTAAGAAATGTTTATGATACCCCACAAATAAATGTAAATGTACTAATAGTGTAGATAATATATATACTAATATGTAATGCAGTGTTATAAAATTTGTGCTAAAATAAGAATTTTAAAATTTTATGAGAAAAACCTACTTTTTATGATAGACTACTTGCCCCATTCCCTGGCACCTCACTGCCCTAAGGAACCATCTTGCAAAAAAAAAGTTTGTGCCTTTAGAAATGGAGATGTTCACTGTAAAATCATGAGTGGTAATATTCTTAGCAGAGATTTGAACATTTATTGCTGTGAAGTTAGGGGAATCCAGCAAATTTAACTAGTCTTTGAAGAGTGGGGCTGTGAAGAAATAAAGAAAAAGATGCAGGAGAACAGACACACGTGAAGAGAAAGAGAAAGAGTAGACAGGGAAAGACAGGAGGCTCTGCTCCAGAGATGAGGGTTGCACCACCCAGACAGCTGGTCCACTTCCCCTGGTATAAGCTAAGAAGCTCCAGGAAGCAAGTACACTGTTCTGTTCACCACGACCACACAGCACCTAGGAGAGTGCCTGGCACATAGTAGGCCTTCAATAAGCATTGATGAATGAATAAATGAGTGAGTGAGTGTGTAAATGAGCAAATGTGACTTCTCCCAGAGCAGCTGTCAGCCCAAGGCTCTGACAATGCTCACTGTGTGATCCTGAGTTAATCACATTCTTCTATCTCTGGCCCTCAAAGTTCCCATCTGTAATATTAGGGGTTAAACTAGATTTCTGCTTTTCTAGAACTTTCTAGGATTTGGTGACTCTGTCCTCTGGCCCAGAAGAGAGGCCAGAGCCTTCCACTAACTAAGCCTTGCATTCTAACAGAGCCCATTTCTTCTTCCTTACAACAGCAGTTTCACACGTGTATATCTGTCTGGGTGTCTGGCTCCCCCACCTGCAGTGGCTGGAAAGTGTCCCCTACAAAATGGTCAAGGGCATGCAGGGGTCAGGCCATGAGCACTGCCAGCAAATGGTGGGGAAAGGCAGATAGGACCCATGTCAGATGACAGCCTGCCACTTGCCAGGTTCAGAACTAGCCCCATCGGGCTGTTGTCTCCTGTGATTCTCATGAGGTGGGGATTATAACACCCCTGTTTTTCAGCTGCGGTTGATGTTCAAAGGGGTTAACTATTTAAACCAATGGCTGCAAGCTGGTGAGTGGAAGCATTCCTATCACAATATTAAATAGTGCAGAGTCTACAGCATTGCTTCTCATTTTTGGTTACGATTTTATGTCACCTGAAGAAATTTAAAAAAGGAAGAAAAAGAAAAACCCTGATGCCTGGGCACCATCTCTAGATATTTTGATCAAATTTAGCTGTGGTGGGGCCTGGAATCAGCATAGTTTTGAAATCTCCCCAAGGACCGTCTAACCTGCAGGCAGGATGGAGAACTGCTGCTTTAACAGCAGACCTGCCTTCTGTGGGAGCTCAGCCACTCAACAGCTGGGTGACCTCGAACAAGTTACTTAATGTCTTTGAACTTCAGTTTCTTCAACTACAAAATGAGCTCAGGGACCTGATAGGGACATTGTCAGAATTACATACAATACCCGTGTGTCATGCTCACCACAGTGCCTGGCTATGGGAAATGCTTAATAATGGTTGGCTGCTACTAATAGTAGAAACAATCTTCTATAACTAAAATGAGGACCAAGAAACATGAAGACACCTGTTTAACAGTGATGGTGTGAGGAAGATACGTCACAATATCGTTGAGTTGCAAGATACTAGCAACTGTTCTCATCTTACACAGAGTGAAGCTTAAGTATATTAAAGAGCTCTGATTTGGAATTCGGTGTGTATTAGAGACATGTCTGTCACTCAAAATCATTAGAATGAATAACAAATTGTCATTTTTATGTGATAAGCTTCACTTTACAAGAAAATTCCTGTAGGCACATATTCCACCCTTTATCCACCAGTGTTAGATAGATAAGGTCTTTCTGGATACACTCAGAAACACTTAGCATAGAATAAAAGTGGAAGCTTTTATTATGTCATTGTGCTTTTCAGGTAATGCTCCTTCCCATTTTCCCTATTCTGTTCTGATTAGTCAGGGTAAAGGCAACACTCACATATCCCAGAGTAACTGGCAGTTGGTTTGGTGCCAGTGTGTGGAATATTTTAGATCATCCCCGCCCTTGGGGGCACTTTTAAAAATCACTCTATCCTATTGCTCCAAATTTGTACAGGACTCCTTTTATAGAAATTGTGTCTGGAGAAGCAATTTTGCACTAGTTGAAGTGAATATAACCCTGATGACTCATGAGCAGAATGAGAAAATGGGAAATGGCTTTTAAAAGGAGTTGCTAAGAGAGGACTCTGCAAAGAAGGTGATGGAAAGGCAGTACTAATGCTCACAAAATTTCAAATTTAGGCACGCATTCTGCCATAGATCTATAGGGTCTAGGCCAGTAAACTACAAGAAAAATACAAAGCAAGTCACGTAAAGATGATATATGCATTTTAAATATTCTAAGAGCCACATTTAAAAGGTAATTATTATAGCACAAATATTCAAAATATTATCATTACAACATGTGATCAAAATAAAAATTGAGATATTTCACATTCCTTTTTTCTTAGCCTTCAAATTCCAGTATATTTTTTATACTGACAGCCCATCTTAATTTTACTGCCCACATTTCAAGTGCTCAATAGCCAGATGTGGCTAATGGATATTACGTTAGACAGTGCAGAGTAAAATATAGACCGGTTACTAAGAACTGTCAAATATGCAATCACAAACTACTACTACTGTTTATTGTTCTGTAAATTATTAATGTGAAGAAGGTAAAATGAATATCTCAGCGTGCCAGCGTTTCATATATAACATCTCATGTGTGCCCAAGCAACCCATGGAGGTAAATGTGCTTTTTCTGTGTGTACTGGAGATGAAGTTGAGCCTCACAGAGCATGGGTGATTTGCTCAAACCACAGAGCAGTATTTATACATGTAGTTTATGTAGTGCCTCCAAATCCTTTGCTTTATTAAAACTTTAAGACTTTCAATGAGAGACAGAATCACAAACAAGCTAATCAGAGGTGATTCAAGCTTGGCATCAGCTAAAATATTTTTATTCTCATTCATTTTGATATGAAGGCATTGAAGCCGGAACATGCAATGATCTGAGCCTAACCCCACAAAGAGATAACTCCAGATCCATTCTTTGAAATATTCATTGAAATAGGAAACCTGGGGCCATTTTTTTCTTCAGAACTAATTAAAGTCTTGGGGCTGGGATTTCTCTATATGCAAAATAGCAATAATACTGTCTGCCCCATCTATATTCAGTTGTTTTTTGGCAGGAGGAAATAATGATCAAAGAAGAGAAGGATGGGAAAATGTTTTATTTCAACAGGCTTTTATGATTGTCCTTATCAGAAGTTGTTTTAGCCTGACTTTATGCTTCTAGATGTGGAAATTATTTCTTCATAAGCTATGAAAGCCTCTGTCCAATGAGTCATTCTGTGACCCAGCAGTGGGCAAAAAGATCAAGAATCTCAAATATCTTATTTTGAATTTGAGGGTGGATTCAGAAAACTCTGACAGTGAAGGGTATTTCAGGAGAGAGTTTTTTCAGCTAACAAGCCCTCTCTTCCCCTTAGGGCCTGTCAGGAAAGTGGTGGAATTACGCGCACTTCCAACATCATGTAAAAACAAATGTCTGCCCCAAAGACCCAGATGTCAACATGGCTCCGCTTTTTCTGCTTGGAGATTTGCAACCTGTCCAGGTACACTTAGAAATCCCAGACACCTGAGAAATGTTCCTGGAAGTGGTTCCTACAGAGGCTGACCTTTGGCCTTTCCTTGGAAAGATTAAGATGAAAGGTCTGGTTTCACAGATCATCTGGGAGTATTATTCCTTCTTTTAGGTCCAAAATACACAATTGAAATAACTGAACCTGAGGCTGCAGATTTGGAATCATGACTTGTGTCTTTAAAGGTCATCTGGTCCAACTTCCTGTTAAAGAACCCACATAACTCTGTTTGAGTCGCCCTAGTGACAGTGGGTCCCTGTCCAGTGCCTATCATTACCTCTGAGGCAACAAAAGCCAGGGATAGATAGTGGATCTAGAAGAGTGAGTTTGGCAGTGACTGTCCAGAGTTTAATGAGGATATGGAGAAATGTTCACCAAGAGAAGACAGGACAGTACTTTCTATAAGCACTAGATCACAAATATATAAATATCTAGTTATAGCCAGGCATGGTGGCTCACGCCTATAATCTTAGCACTCTGGGAGGCTGAGGCGGGTGGATTGCTCGAGGTCAGGAGTTCAAAACCAGCCTGAATAAGAGTGACAATCTGTCTCTACTAAAAATAGAAATAAATTAATTGGCCAACTGAAAATATATAGAAAAAATTAGCTGGGCATAGTGGCACATGCCTGTAGTCCCAGCTTCTTGGGAGAATGAAGCAGAAAGATTTCTTGAGCCCAGGAGTTTGAGGTTGCTGTGAGCTAGGCTGAGGCCATGGCACTCTAGGGGGGCAACAGAGTGAGACTCTGTCTCAAAATAATAATAATAATAATAATAATAAAATATCTAGTTATAACAACTACTTCCAGTCCAGTTAAAAGAGACCACACTGTTATATTTAATTCATATCCATTTTGGTAAATTTACAATAAACCACAGCCTAAATACCTCTTAACACAACTAGAGATAGCAGCTCTAATTTAAGAATCTTAAACAACAGAAAATGGAGGAGAAAACTCATCTTCAGAATTTCTCAGTTATTGATTCTTTCAACTTCAACTTAAAACCACCATGTTAAGACTACTTAAATTACCAAGTATTTTAGAGGGAGTCTTCCTGAAACAAACTAGCTATAGAGATAAGCAAGGAAATGTATCTCTTCTCAAAGCACTTGCTATCTTTCTGCCCTAAGCACAGCCAGATAAACTAAGGGGACTCCTAGAAAAATGAATCAAATTCTCAATAGTGAGTGTAATATAGAAATTATGTGATAATATGTAATATATAATTGTGTATAATATAGACTAAATATTATAAATATTAGCAGCATGCCTTAAAATAGTAAACCATAGTGTGAGATTCATGATGAGAATGCAAAAGAAGAAAGATGAGACTGATGAGAGAGTCTCATGCCTATATCTTTTATCATATGACCATTTGGTATCTGTTGGATGAATGAAAGAAAATGGAGTCTGAGTTACAAACAGGATCCTAATTCACACAGTTGAAGAAGAGGTAGAAAATCTCACTAGAGATATTACTTCTCAGTCACTATTCCACTTTGCATAATGAGGAAAAATTTCAAAGTGATTTCCACTGAATTAAAAAAAAATGATCACAACCCCCATAATCAAATGAGCACAATCCTCACAATCAATTTGTGCGAGAATTGCTCACATTTAATTAAAGCAAAAAGATACCACAAGCTTCACTCTGATTTCGATTTTGATTGTTTTAATGACTCAGGTTTGACAGCTAACAAAAACTAAATAAAGATGGCTCTTTCTATAGAGATTTTAGACACGAAGATACACACACTGACACACACATTCACACACACACACAACCTTGAGGGTAATGAGCAGAAGTGTTTTCTCGTATTTTATCTTTTTTTTTCCTCTCTCCATTCAGTATGGCAAGAAGAAAATCAAATACATCAACTATGAAAAGCAGCACCTGTACTTCACCATGGGTGAGTCTCCCAGAGGCACATTCCTTACCATCCTGTTTCCTTTAAGCGAGCACTTGTCAGGCCAGAAGGCTGACTGCAATTCTCTCACAGAAAACTGCCATGTCTTATTGTTACTGAGAAAAGCAGCATGTCTTGTTTCAGACTCACTACAGTAGAAATCTTCAAAGGGAAATGGAAAAGCAAATAGGCCTTTTTTAACCAGCATCTCCTCACTCTGTGTGGTGAGCAGGGAAGGAGGGAGATGCCCCACGAGGGAGGGAAGGCAGCTGCCAGTCAAGGGGACCTGCACCCGGGACTCTCATCCTGGAAAGACAAAACACCTGTCAAGAGAAAAGGAGAGGCGTATTTGGGCAGGCAGGGGAAGGGGATGGGGAAATAATTCTGAAACATTTAGTGTGACACCACAGAAAGGAGAAGCCCAGGAATCAAAGGCATCTCCCATGACGCTGTGTGGAAGAAAGCTGGCTGCTCCATGGCCTACGTACAACCGTAGAAGACATCTGAGTGTGAACACATGGGCCAAGCTCGAAAGAAAATAAGATAGCTGAGTAATTCTGATATGAAGAAAGGAATGTCATGAGTGAAAAGTCTTTGCTCTTATCCAAAATCAAACTCATGGCAGCTCACAAAGAGAGTTTTCAAGGAACCTCAAATCTGAGCGTCTAAAACATGCAACACACTTTGGAAATAAAGCAAAATCAGGGGAGGAATCAAACATTTTCCATGGGCCACTGGTTCTCAACCAGGGATAGTTTGCTCCTCAGGGGACAATTGACAGTAGTCATTTCTTGATTATCATAGTCATTTCCTGATTATCACAACAGAAGTGGAGGGTAGGGCTGATATACAGTGGGCAGAAGCCAGGGATGCAATGTAAACATTCTACAATGCATATGATAGTTCCTCATAACAAATAATCACCTGGCCAAACACCAACAGTATTGAGGTTGAGAAACACTGGTGTAGGTGATCTGATTTGCCCAGGTGTCTGCCACTAGGGAACACTTGTTACAAGCCATAGGAGGATGGTGGTGGGTTAAGTTTTTGGAAGGTGGGGCCGACCATCCCTGCTGGCTCCTCTACAGCTGGTATCTAGCCTTCCTAATACCTCACTGATCACCTTCCCCTACTTTTGCAAGAATAAGGACATTGTTGCTTTATTTTGTAAGGTAACAGATCCCCAGCCTAACTAGATGTGTGTTTGCTCAGGAAAAAGCTGTTGGAGTTTCTTTTATGGACTTTCCAGAGAAATGTGTGTTTACCTACCCTGTCTGCAGTGGTGCAATATGCCCTGAGCTAATGAGGAATGAGTGAATGGTGTGGATTCACTGCAGAATGCCCACTGCACAAACCACACTGCCACCCAAGAGCTGTTTCACTGGGGCATTTCCCTGAAAATGCCAGTTTAGCAAATTGGGTGTGAATGATTCCTACTCAAATGTCAAAGAGAAGGACTATTGGACATTTGTTGAAGGCAGCAAGACAAATTTTATTCAGGCTACTGAAGTAGGAGAGAGAGACATCAGTAGCAGGTGAGCTTAATTCTGCTGAAACAAATTCTGGGACAAGATAAAGAAAAAGTACTGAAATATTTTGGGGATTTTGTAGGAGTGGAGGAGTTGGTCGATGTGATTGGTCCAGGCCATTTTTTCTGCAGACTGGAGCTTATTGAAGAGGGGTTGCCTCCTGCTTTCCCACACAGACCAGGATACAAGGGCCTTGTCCTTACTGATGACTATGTCTCAGAGGGATGGCTCTCAGGTCCTTGAGGAAACATTTCTGGGATGCAAGAGTTTTTTATTGCTGCTTCAATGATATTGCTCATTATTGGTCTGTTCCACAGTGCTAGTTCTTCCTGATTGAGTCTTGGGAGCTTATATGTTTCCAGAATTTTTTTCCATTTCCTCTATGGTTTTGAGCTTGTGTGCAGAGAGATTTTCTTAGTATTCACAAATGGTAATTTGTATTTCTGTTGTATCAGTTGTGATACCTCCTTTTTCCTTTATAATTGAGCTTATTTGAGTCCTTTCTCTTCTCTTCCTGATTAATCTAGCAAGATGTCTATGAATTTTGTTTATCTTTTCAAAGAACCAACTTTTCATTTTATTGATCTGTATAATTTCCCATTTTTGATTTTGTTTAGTTCTGATCTGATCTTAGTTATTTCATTTCTTCTGCTGGCTTTGGGTTTGGTTTGCTCTTCCTTTTCTAGTTCTTTGAGATTTATCATTGGATTATTAATTAGTAATTTTTCTGCCTTTTTGTTAATGGTATTTATGGCTATGAATTTTTGCCTCAGGACAGATTTTGCTGCATGCCATAAATTTTGGTGGCTTTTGTCCTCTTTGTCATTCAATTCTAGAAATCTTTGAATTCCCATCTTAATTTTGTCATTAATAAAATGATCATTTAGCAGCAGTTTGCTTAATTTCTATGACTTTGTGTCGAATTGGGTGTTTCTCTTAGAGTTGATTTCTAGTTTATTCTACTGTGGTCTGAGAAGATACATGGTATAATTTTCATTTTTTTGATTAGTTGAACCATGTTTTGTGACCTAAAATATGATCAATATTGGAGAATGTTCCATGTGTTGTTGAGTAAAATTGTATACTTAATATTTGGGGATGGAATAGTTTTATATATCTATTAGGCTCTATTATTTTATATTCTCATTTAAGTCCAGCATTTCTTTATTTATTTTCTGCCTGGATAATGTGTTCAGTTCTGTCAGTAGGATGCTAAAGTTCCTGGCAATTACAATGTTGCTGTTTATCTCTCCTCTTAGATCTAGTAGAGCTCGCTTTATGAATCTTCCAAAACTAACAACAACAAAAAAGCTCTGGACCAGATGAACTCATAGCCACATTGTATGAGACCCACCAAGAAAATCTGGTATCTATTCTGCAGAAATTTTTCCATAGCATGGAGAAGAAGGGAATTCTTCCCAAATCATTCTATGAGACTGTATCACCTTGACACCAAAGCCAGGAAAGGACACAATAAAAAAGAAAACTACAGACCAATATTCCTTATGAAAATAGATGCAAAATTCTCAATGAAATGCCAGAAAACAGAACTGAACAGGATATCAAAAAATAGTCTACCATGACCAAGTGGGCCTTATTCCAGGGATGAGAGGATGGTTCAACATACATAAGCCAATAAATGTGATTTACCATATAAACAGAAGTAAAACAAAGATCATATGATCTTCTCAATTGATGAAGAAAAAGCATTTAGAACACTTTCATGATAAAAACTCTCAACAAAGTAGGCATTGAGGGAACATACTCAAAATTATAAAAAGACCCACAGATGACAAACTCATAGCCAGCATCATACTGAATGGAGAAAAGTTGAAAGCATTCTCACTAAGAACTGGAAAAAGACAAAATGCCTACTCTTACCAATTCTATTCAACATAGGGCTGGAGTCCTAACCAGAATGATCAGGCAAGAGAAAAAAAAAAAAAAATAAGGATCCTCCAATGGGAAAATACTATTTGAAAGTATTGTTTTTTTGTAGCCAACATGATCTTATACCTAGAAAACACCAAAGATGCCACCAAGAGACTCCTGGAATTGATAAATACATTCATCAAAAGCTCAGGTTACAAAATCAATGTACAAAAATTAGCAGCACAAACATATACCAATAACAGTGAAGCTGAGAGTAAAATCAAAGACTTGATGCCATTCACAACAGCTACAAAGGAAATAAAATATCTAGGAAAATACTTAACAAAGCATGCTTCACGTGGAACCAGAAAATAGCTCTAATATCCAAAGCAATTTTAAGCAAAATGAACAAATCAGGAGGCATTACATTACCAGATTTCAAACTATACTACCAGTCTATGGTAATTAAGTCAGCATGGAATTGGCATAAAAATAGAGAAATAGACCAATGGAACAAAACAGAGAACACATATATAAAACCACCTACTTGCAGCTAACTGATGTTTGACAAAAGAGACAACGATATATACTGGGGAAAAGAATCCCTACTGCATAAATGGTGCTTGCAAAATAGTGTAGCCCCATTCAGAAGAATCAGACAAGGTCCATATCTCTCATCACTTACAAAAGTTAATTCAAGATGAATAGAAGACTCAAATGTCAGGAAGGAAAACTTTAGAATTATAGAAGAAAATGTTGGAAAACTCTTCTACATTTTGGCCTAGGCAAATAATTTATGAAGAAGAATACAACAAAAATAACAGGAACAACAAAAAAGAATAAATGGGACTTAATTAAATTAAAATTATTCTACATAGCAAAGGAAATAATGAACAGACCAAATAGACAACCCTCAAAATGGGAGAAAACATTTGTATAATATACATCCAATAAAGGACTAAAAAATAACCTGAATCTACAGAGAACTGAAGCAAATTACCAAGAAATAAATCAAATTGCCTCATTAAAAACAGTGTAAAACACCTTAACAGAAGCCTTTCAAAGAAGATAGACAAATGGCCAATAAACATATAAAAAATGTTCAACATCACTAATAATCATGGAAAGCAAATTAAAACCACAATGAGATTTCACCTTACCCCCGTCAAAATGTCCTTTATTAAAAAGTCCAGAAACAGAGATGTTGGTGTGGGTAAAGAGAGAAAGGAATTCTTACACACTCTTGGTGGGAATGCAAATTATTACAACCTGTATGGAGAACTGTGTGGAGATTCCTCAAAGAACTAAACGGAGGCCTACCATTTGGTCTAGCAATTCTAATAATGGATATTTACCCAAAGAAAAAGAATGAATTTTATCAAAAAGACACATTCACCCAAATGTTTATCACAGCACAATTTATAATTGCAAAGATGTTGGAATCCACCCAAATGCCCATCAATTCATGATTGGATTAATAAAATGTAGTATATGTATATCATAGAGGTATATGTATAAATGTGGTATATGTATACCAGCCTTGAAGAGGGATGACTTAATGCCTTTTACAACAATTTGGATGGAATTGGAGACCATTATCCTAAGTGAAGTATCTAAAGAATGGAAAAACAAACACTGCATATACCTAGTATTAAATTGGAACTTATGGATGGCCACAAATGAGCACAGAGGGAAGTAAAACTCAACGGAAATGAGCCAGAGGGGTGGGGTGAGATATGGGTGAAATCTGACATGAAGATTACAATGAGCACTATCTGAGAGTTGGGCACACTTATACCCCTGACTCAAGCATTATAAAAGCAACCCATATAACTGAAACATATGTACCACTGTAATACATTGAAATAAAAAAATAAATTAAAATGAAATAAAATATACAAGAGGGAAAAAAAGAAAGATATTTCTGGGTTATAGAAGACATATCTCAAACCAACACAGGAAGGATTTACAATTGTAAGTTTTCTGAAGTAAATGATCTAAGAAAAGGAGATTAGGTGCCTATGGTTAGGTCTGCACTGAAATAAACAGTAAATCCTTTTGGCAGTATTGAGCTCTCTCAGGAAGAAACTTAAAGGGGGCTGGAGTCTTCCTAGAGAGTTGACACTGAGCTTTTAGAAACTATGCTAGTGCTTATTCCAGTTTCTCAGTGTGAGGGGATATGAAATCATTTGTGCTGAGAGTTTTCAGTCTTCATAAGACAACATTGAGACCCTGTCTAGGAGAAGAGGGTTCAAAGGATCCAGACTAGAGTTTGGCCAAGGAGAGAGTCTTTGCTGACAGCCAGAGGGACTCCATAAGACTCCTGTGAGATCTTGGCAGTCTCTACAGTTCTGGGGGTGACACAGGTAAATTACTCTTTGACCAGGAAATGAGCACATCTTCTTTATTCCTGCCACACCCACATATTGTGACAGGGCTAATCCAAAGGATTTGGGGTGACTAAAGGATGCCAAGGACCTTGAATATACTTAAAAGCTCAGAGAAACTGCTCTTTGGAGACACCTGCATCAAAAATGACTAAAATCTTCAAAGCTTCCTTAGCCTTTATGAAGCTAGAGCCTGGAGCTGCTGACCAAGTTCCTGGTTCAGCTTCCTGAACTTGGAAAGTCCAGTGGAGTCCAGGATGTGGACTTGCATCCCTTCTCAGGGCCAGCACTGCAGGAGTGGCATGATAAGGAAATAGACTCCTGCTGACTTGCACTGGGGTCACGTTCTCATCATTTATTCACCATGTTGTTTGTTTCTTTTCAGTTGCACTCCCCTTCCTCGTGCCTGCACATTTAACAATGAAATCCTTCCGCATGATATACTTTAGAAGAGACTGGGAGGTGAGTAATTTGGCTCCTTCTCTGAAATCAGACCAGCTAGAAGAGGAGAAAATGAAAATGCTTGGACACCTCCAGACATAGCTTCCTTGTGTAACAGGGCATAAGATGTAGCCAGTACCTGAAGGGACCCCAGGCCAATGAAGAGGAAATGAAATTATGTTCAGGGCATCTAACTTTCAAGTGCTTTTCTCTGCAGGACATCGCCTGGGTTAGCAGCTTTTACATCCGACACTTCATCTCATTTGGCCCTTTCTATGGAATCTTCGGAACCCTATTGCTCATATATTTTGTCAAGTAAGAATATTCTCTTATTACCATAACTTGGGTGTCCTTATCAGACCTATTTGTCTTTAGCAGAAGATGATGACACTATGCCCCATTTCCTAGAACTGAGGTGTTTTCAAGGAAATGTGGAGAAAAAAAACCCAGTTGAAATAGTTGAACAAGACAGGCTTCTTGCAAGAAGTGTTATCCTGATCTCCATTTTTTCCCACTGGCTTGATTCCCAGTGAAGCATTTCAGGAGATGCCCAAGTACATTAAAAACATAATCTATTGACACCCATCATAATCTCTTTCAAAAGTATTGACAGGACAGGAATATTTTAAAGTTCTTTTATGACTAGAGATTTTCCAAGAAGAAAAGTGACCTCAGACTATTCCTTTTACCTGAATAGCCCTTTACAACTTTCCAGTGTACTCCCTCATTCTGTTGCTCTATTATTTTCAATCCTAAATAATTGTAAAGATAATGGTAGCTACTATGCTTTAGGCACATTGTTAAATGCCCAAAGGTACGTAAGAGCAAGTTGTGGCTAAGGCCAGTGCCAAATCAGAACTTCAAACCACTCTATCTGGGGCAAAGCCCAGGTATCAATCACTTTGCATATGCCCTGGAGTTCCCCTGGTGTTTGTGATCTTTGCACCAGAGCTACAGAAAACTTAAGAAGCACAGCTGTAGATGTCTGGCAGCAGGGCAGGTCATGTGGCTGAATCCTTCATGTGTCATCTCTGGTTATAAAGGATGTAAACGACTTTGAAAAAGTATGACCACTATTTTACTGGAACCTTTCATTCTCCTGTGCTCAGCCAGATGTTCCAGGGGTTATGCAAGCCCAGTGATGGGTTTGCTCCTGAAAAACCCCAGAGAGTCCTCACCTGTTCATTTTATTCCCCCAAAAGGTTTCTTGAAAGTCCCTGGTTTACATGTGTTACCATGATGAGCCACTTACCAATGAAAATAAGCACAGAGGAGAACCGGGACTGGCTCAGCACTCAGGTAATGGTGGAGGAAGAATCCTTCAAACCACACTGATTTAGAATCTGGGTACTTCAAATGATAATGACTCACCCTTTAAGAGTATGGGCTCGGGGACAGGCACCATCAAGTGCTTTGCACTACCTACAGAAGATATTATTTAATCATAAAAGGTATGATGATTCTTACTTTACAGATGATAATTTTGAATAACTTATATAAGGTCACACAACTAAGTGGTTGAAGCATGTTTTAAAACCTAGGCAGTTAGATTATCAGGCCTTTACTCTATTCCTAGGGTCAGTCTTAGGGTATGCTATAGGCCAAATTCAGGCCACTGCTTGTCTTTGTAAATAAAGTTCTATTGGAGCACAGCCATGGTCATCCGTTTACATGTTGTTTGAGACTGCTGCATGCTGCAACAGCAAAATCAGTTTGTTATGAAAAAACTGAAATATTTATTAATTGGCACTTTATAGAAAACATTTGCTGACCCCTCCTCTGCTCTAAACTCTAATGCGACACAGCCTTTCAAGTGAATCTGAGACTTCTAGAGTTACAGAATGAATTTTATGCTTGTAAGTACCATGGAAATCATATTATTTCACTGTATGGGTATAGATTTTTGCAGGTAGGATCCTTGAAAATGACTGTGATAGTGAACGGGTCAATTTTCTTTTCTCACACAGCCTAACTTGTGATGATTATGACACAAAGGTATATTAGAAATTTAATTTAAATAATATAGGACCATATCATATATGTAGTTTGTATATGAATTTATCAGGCCTCTTCACCAGCCTGCCAGATTCCAGATTCCTGGTCCTCAGAATGCCCTCCATCTCATTTAGTCAGTGACCAAAGAGCGTACAACCACTTCACACTCTTAAAAGTTCTTAGGAACCTCAACGCCTTCGTTTATGTAGGTTATATCCACTGATATCTATTTAACTTGTAGTTAAAATATAAACTATACAATTTTCATTCATTCATTAAGTTTAAATTAATAAGAATTAATTGAATACATTTTTACATCAGAGTGATGATGCCCATACCATGTTTAGTTGCCTCTGTAAAATTCCACTGTGCAAGCATGAGAATATGTGAATTAAAAAGTCAAATTACATCTTAGATTTATTATGAAAATAGCATCAACTTTGCAGATTTCATTAAGGTACCCTGGGGATACTCAAGATTCTGGGGAACCTCAAGATTCTCTGAACTACACTTTGAGAAACACTAACATAGAACAGCAGCAGATACAGCATTCTAATTGGCAACAACACCAGCCAGAATAAAACCTTTAAAAACCATTCAATAAAAAGATATTCATAAAGGTTCTTAATCTTGGCAGCATAGAGAACCTACAAATTCCTTCTCAGGATAATGTTCTTGAACACCCAAAATACATAAGATTACAAAGGAAACTGTTTAAATTGGAATGCACTTCCATGACAAAAACCCTTGGATCAAACCTTTGAACTAATAACTTCTAATAACTTCTCATTTAGAAGTCCTTCAAGTCCAGTGCATAGACATGTTACTCTACATCTGAAATCCCTACTGAAATCCAACAACCCTACATCTATCTGCCAATGTGCTCATTTATGATGCCTCAGTCTTCCATATCTGTGTCAACAGAGAATTTTACCCTGAAATCCTACATGAATTTTTATGAATATATGGATTGCCTTGTATGTACTTCTTAGCAAAATGTCTAATTTCCTTCTTCAATTGTAAGTGCTTGAGACCAGAGACTGTGTATCTATCTTTTATATCCTTCATAGTTTCTCACATAAAATAGGTTCTCAAGAAATACTTGATGAATGGTTGACTAAATAGAAGAATAAATAAACATTTTCTCTGCTTGAAACTTGGGATCATTTATATCTTTTCTTTACAGGTATTGGGAACCTGTAATGTTGAACAGTCCTTTTTCAATGACTGGTTCACTGGGCACCTGAACTTCCAAATCGAGCACCAGTAAGTAATAGAAATAGACCATGACAGGGGCAAGAGTTGTCACTTAAAACAACCCCAAATACAGTCTAGAGCAGAGCCTTAGGCTCAGGGTCTCAGAGGGGAAAAAATAAACCAAGACTCTCTAAAGGTTGCTATCTTTCTATTAGCATCAATGGTAAGGGAAGGAAGAAAGAAAGGAAGGAAGGAGGCATTAACAATTCTTAGTATGGAGTGGAATCTTGGAAAAGTACCAGTGACTCGGTTTCCAGATCCCAAAATGCTTAGGAAATTGTGATTGTTTTCTATGTATTTGCTTTGTTGGTGAAACCAAAAAGAATCACATCACTTGGGTAACCAAGTTTGTATTGAAATTTAACTAGAATTTAAATATCTGTCTCTTTAAAGCCAAAGCTACAAAATAATCAACAATGACACACAGACTCTGATGCAATTTCCAAATGGCATTTGGCAATACTTCACCAATGGGTCAGTTAGTTGGACATGTAACAAAGAAAGAGAAAATGATGACACTTGTAGAGCCAATCTCTTTAGAATATTCAGGGGACAGACTTTTTGCATCCTTTTTATCTAAGACATATCTGGGATAGTCAGAGAAGAAAAAAGATCTTTTAGCTGTGCACAGGTTTTTCTCAACCTTTTTTCCATCTTAGTCCGTTAAAACCTCAGCAAAATAAGGAAGGATTTTTATCTATATTTTATCAAGGAGGAGGTTAAAACCCAAGAAAGTCACCTGGCTGACTACTAGAAAACTTTAGTTAAGAATTCATTACCTTATTATTTTCCTAGGACTTTTCCCTATATGCCATGGGAAGAACTTATTGAATGCCCATCTATTCTTGGAGTAGGAGTTAGATGGATAGAGAGAAAAAGAGAAACAGACAGAGACAGAGATGGAGAAAGAGATATCTCCAGCTCTCCTAGCTGATTCAAAATGATAGACAACCCATAACCTCATTTGACCTGGCCAAAATAAACATAGTCTATGGAGCTAACATATATTTGATTAGCATTCTCCAAATCCTTACCACTAACGGGGCTCATAGAAATGTTACGGGATAAGATTAGAGTATTTTAGAAAGAGTTTATGAACATCACAGAAGTATCGTCCAAGGTCAAGGCTGGGTCTGCATTGGTGTTATAATTTTATTTGGTAATAGAGGAAAGAAAAGTCCTTTGGGCTTCTCTGTAGGTGTAAGTTTTCTATTTCCTGTCTGTTTCTCTAGCCTGTTCCCCACAATGCCTTGCCATAATTATCACAAAGTGGCACCTCTGGTGAGGTCACTGTGTGCCAAGCACGGATTGCAGTATGTGAATAAGCCCCTGCTGAAGGCGTTCGGTGATATTTTCAGGTAAGAACAAAATTTCTCGGTTCACAGCTCTCACTTCTCTTCACTGCCAGTCCCCGACTACTCACTGGTTTGTGGGTCATTCACCCGACACTCATTTACTGAGGGCGCCTGTGTGCGCAGCATGGACACAGACCCTACAGGGAACCATCTCAACAGCAAAGATATTAATAACAACAATAATACTTACCCTTCACCTGCTGCCTTCTACAGGTACTTCTTAGTGAAAATGCCTTCCTCCCTACTGAATTTCAAGTTTCTTGAAGCCAAAGATGTGTGTTTTTTGTTTTTCTATCCCCCACAGAGCTTTGCACAAGCTTTAGAACTTACATGGTGCAGAGAACTGTGGAATCATCTGGTCCAGTGTTGCAAGTGTAGATACCACAGGATCCAGTGAGACATAAACCTGTGAATCAGCTGGGCTGACTGATTAAGAACCGTGAAGTGTAGGAACGGAAATATACATTCATCCTTAGCTGTTCACATACAATTACCTAGAGAACATTAATTGTGCTGGTGAAATTAATAGCTAGAGGTCTGCGTTTAATAACTCTTTCTTTTAGGATTGGAAACAAAACATATCTTGGGTCGGGCTGGCAAGGGAGGCTTAATCTGACTTAATTCCTGACTAATGCTCCAGCTTCAGACTCTCCACCACTGTCCTCCTCCCTTCCTGCCTTCGAGATATCTGGCCACTTTCAGGTGCTAAAAACTCCCTGACACCAGCCCTCTCATGCCTTCACAATATTTTTTTTTCCAAACCACCACCTCCCCTCATATTACCTTGTCGATTCCCATTCACTCTCCAAGTTTCATCTCAAATGCCTTTTCCCCGTGTCAGTGTTCTCTGAACTTTGAGACTAAATCCATCACAGGCTTGTGCGGCACCTAGTTATCTTTATCCGTGACCTTTAGCACAATCATTTTTAAACAACATGCTGAGTAACAAATTATTTACTATGTGTCGCTCAAGCTAGACCAGGAACTGTATATGAAAAGAATTCACATCTATCCTAATCATTGCTGCATCCTTAGAGCCCAGAAAAATATCTTCCACCTTATAAAATTGGGTAGGTAGGTGGATATAGAATGGGTTGTTATACAGGTGTGTGGGCACAGAAGAAAATATAATGAAAGGAAATCTCAATATCCTCCAGATAGGAAAGGTGAACTCACCTGCTAAAAGCAATTTGGTGTTTTAGACCCATCTCCACTGGTGAACAGAGAATGACATTTATCAATTGTAGCTGGAAATGATGACATCGCCCTGAAACAGGCAGATAAGCAAACTGAGAAGCCCCCTTTACATTACTGTTTCGCCAGCTGATTATTTTATTTACTCCACCCACCCACAGGTCTTTGAAGAAATCCGGAGCTCTCTGGAAGGCTGCTTACTACGAAACATGATGCATGCATGCAATTGCATCTCTGCAGGGGGTTGGTGGATGTGCAAGAGCCCTTTCCTGCTTAACTGGGAATCAGTTAGCACCATTGGCACATCTAGGTTTGCCAGGAATGTGCATCCCAAGGATACCTGATGACCACTCCCCTGAAGGTCTTCTACAAATAAGAAGCCAGGAAACACAAGATGACATTGGCCAGAGTGACAAAAAGGAAGTGGGAGCGCAAGTTTCTATTATTTTAATTTTTCCTTAGGGTCTTAAACAATGTGTTGATTGCTTAGGGATTCATAAATATATAGAAATGCTATAAGAGAATCAAGAGAAGAATAAAACAAAATTAAGGATCACGAAGGAAAAGGGGTGCTAGGCAAGAATAAAAACTTATTGAATTTTATTGAACTTATTAAACTTTTGAACTTATTAAATTTTAATTTGTTTAGTGGGTTGCTAGTCAATAAAAATCATCATTTTTCTGAATTCACCATCTCAATTAATTTGTTTCATTCACCCTATCCCGACTGATATTTGCACTGGTGAGGTATTGACTGTATTTCTAATGCTTGTTCAACATCCTTCCCAGAGGAGGACAACCAAAGCCTGTTGCTTTTACAACTTCCAAGATTGCTGAGCACTGAGTTAGATTTAGATGATCTGTCCTGCAGGTCTTCTTACCTCTGCCCTTCATGCTGTGGGGCTGGCTCCATGGGCATATGAATGAAGGTGGCCTCATCAGCCAGGCTTCTGCCTCCTTACACTCAGTGACTTCCAAGAGTTATGTCATAGCCCTACCCAAAACCCTCCACTGGATTCCCATGGCTCTTGGAATAAACACCAAACCCCGAAACAGCCCCACTGGGTACAACTCTGGCCTTGTTCCCTCTGCTTCAGCGTATGCGCTATCTTTAAATCTTCATGCCCCTTTCTGCCACAGGGTCTTTGCTCCTGATCCCAGTGTCTGAAGCACTTTGTCACCCTCCCTGCCCTCACTCCCTCTCACCTGGCCATACTGCCACTCACCTTCAGATCTTTGCACTCTTATCAGTCTCAGCATAGCTTTACCCACCACCCCAGGGATGCTGCCCTGCTGAGTCAAGGCCTACTGTGGTGTGATCTGTAGCAAGCATGACGGGTATAACTTTATATCATTAATAGTTATTATTTCTTAATTCAATTGTCTTCCCCTGTAGCCTGCAATATCCATGACAGCAAGGACTGCCTGACATGCGGTAGACACTCAGTGAAAATGCACTCAAGGCAGGAAAGGAAAAATGCATGGATGGATGGCAATCCTAAGGGGCTACAACTTAAAAACTCCTCCTTTCTCATGGAAAGCCAGCACCAGGAAGTTTCTCCTGATAAGCAGAAAACCATTTGAAGTTTTCTTATCATGAGAATTTTCTGATTACAAAAATATGTTAATGTAATTCTTTCCAGTTAGGTAGAAAGATAAATTTTATCAAGTATTGGAAAAGTACTTCTATATTCTAATTATGAATGATTACTTTTTCATTTCAGTGTGGTAAGAACACATCATGAGAGATACACTTTTAACATATATGTTAACTGTACAAAACAGTATTGTTTTCTATAGGTGCAGTGTTACAAAGCAAATCTCTAGAACTTATTCATCTTGCATAAATACAATTTTATGTCTATTGACTAGCAGCTCCTATTTTTTTCTTCCTCCATGCTCTGGCAACTACCATTCTATTGTTTGATTCTATGAATTTGACTATTTTATGTATTTAATATAAGTAGAATCATACAGTATTTGTTTCTCTGTGACTGGATTCTTCACTTTGCATAAAATCTTCAATGTTAATCTATGTTATTGCATATTGAAGAATTTCTGTCATTAAGGCTGAATAATATTTCATTGTATGTATACACCACACATTTTTTTATCCATTTGTCCACTGATGGACAGTTAGGTTATCTCCACATCTTGGCTATTACAAATAGTGCTTTAATGAACATTGAAGCCATTTCCTTTATATTCTCATTTCAATAATTTTTTAATAAATACCCAGAATTGGAATTGCTAAATAAAATTCTTACCAGTATTTATGAACATATACTATCAATAAGTTCTAAGCTATACCCTTCATGGACATTATTCCCTTTTATCTTCCTTATAGGCCCATAGGCAAGGTGCTATAATTAACCTCATGAATTAGATGAAAAACAGTAGGTTTAGGAAGGTTAAGCAATTTTCTTGATATAACAGGTAGGAAATGGTGGAGTAGAGTTTCAGATTCAGGAATATCTGAGTTCACAGTGAAAGCTCTATCATTCTCATGCCAGGAAACTCAAACTCAAGGAAAATTAAGTGGCAGGAATTCAACCCAGTTAAAATTCATCTTCTCTAGGGCCATCATTATGTGGCTTTCTCTGATTCCCTATTTCTTCTAAAGCTTTATTCTTCTTGGCAAAATAAGGCAATGAGAATTTGCCTGCATTTTCAGTTGCGCATTAAATAAGGGTGACTGGATTAGAAGACATGAATCCAAAACCAATTTCAGACGTTAATTTAGTGTCCTTAACTGAACTTGGCTAGGTCACTTACATACTTCATACCTCAGTCTCCACATTTGTATAAGGCTGGGCATAATATTACCTGGTCTATGTGCATCATTGCAGGTTGTGACAATGAAATGAAGTAAGGAAAATGGAATGATTTTATAAGCAGGAAACACCCATTCAGTCATCATTGTTATAAGGATATTTTCCCCTCATAGAGTCACCAAAAGCAAAAACAGCCACAGAATGACACAGACCCAGAGAATGGGCATTTTCCTCAGATGAGAAGTTTATAAGTCACAAACAACAACAACAAAAAAACATTTTCTTCTCTTCCAACAAGTAACACCCATGAATCCCATTGCAATTCCAACTGTATTTCAACCCTTTGGAGACCCATTTGGATGCCCTTTATTTCTTTCTGTTGTCTGATTGCTCTGGCCAGGACTTGCAGCAGTATCTTGAATAGAAGCACTGATAGAGGGCCACTTTGTCTGGTTCCAGTTCTAAGTGGGAATGCTTTTAATACCACACTTGGGAGGCTGCTCCTGATGGGAGGGGTTACTTGGTGCACCTATTGTTGCCTTTTTTCAGGATTTTTCTTCCCTGCCCACAGACCCCACTGTTGGCAGTTGACCAGATGTGGAAATTCAGCCCCACAGATATGATCGTACTGGATGACCTAAACCAGTCTGACAAGCAAATTCACTTGGCTGTCAACCATCAATCTGTGCCAAGGCTCCACAGATTCATGCTAGTTGCACAGGAAAAGTTGCTTTTCTTGTCTCTCCCTGCCTCCAGGGGTGGAGCCTACAGCTTTCAGTGTGAAAGTTGCTGGCTAGGGGAAGAGGTTGGTGCCCCAGTTCACCCAGGGCCCTAGCGCCTGTAAATCACGCAGGTGTAAGACTCCCACGACTGGGGAAGTGTTCAGAATTCACCCATCAAAATGGGGCCTGGCTAATTGACCATAAGTCATGTAAGGGCAGAGCTTGTTGTGACAGTACCCAGTGTAGGGATTGGAGCTGTCCAACACCACAGGGCACCTCAGCATTGGGATTGTGGACCTCAAAAGTGGCGACCACCAGCCCGCAGAGCACTAGCACTGGGGGCAACTGTTCAGGAGTTGGCAGGTGCGGGATTCAGGAGCTGAGTCATCTGGATGCTCATTTTCTCTTTTTTGTCACCCTCTTGTGATCTCACGCCTGTCCAGCAGAAGATGTAGCTCTTTGTGACCCTCCCTGAGCTGGCCTATCTGCCCACAGCAGTTTCCAGGTTAGAGTCCCCTACTTAGTGTTCACCTCCATTGTTCTGGACCCACTGACTGCCAGGGGCCAGTTACCTGTCTCCTAATTCCCTCCAGCAGTAGCTCAGACCAGTCCCTCCCCCTCCTAGTGCCGTTCTGGCACAGAACTCTAGGGAGTTCAAGATGCTTGTATAGCAAAAGCAATTCTATGCAAAAAGAACAAACTGGGAAGCATCAGTTTACCAGACTTTAAGCTATATCCAAGGTATGATAACTAAAATAGCATGGGACTGGCACAAGAACAGAGACATAGACCAGTGGAACAGAACTGAGATATAAAACCATCCTCATAGCCATCTAATCTTTGAAAAAGAAGACAAAAACATACACTAGGGAAAAGAGTCCTTATTCAATAATAGGTGCTGGGAAAATTGGATAGCCACATGTAAAAGACTGAAATGGGATCTGCACCTTTAACCTCTCACAAAAATCAATTCACAGTGAGTAACAAACAGAAACCTAAGGCATGAAACTATAAGAATTCTAGAAGAAAATGTTGGTAAAGCTCTTATAAAGCTCAATGTCTATAATTGGCCTAGGCAAAGAATTTAAGAAGAAGACTCCAAAGGCAATCACAGCAACAACAAAAATAAATGAATGGGGCCTGATCAAATAAAAAAGCTTCTGCACAGCCAAGGAAACTATCAAAAAAGCAAACAGAATACCTACAGAATGGGAGAAAATATTTGCATGTTACACATCTGAAAAAGGGCTGATAACAAGAATCTATATAGAACTCAGGAAAATCAGCAAGAAAAAAATCAAACAACCCTATCAAAAAGTGGGCAAATATTTGAAAAAAGTATTCAAAAGAAGATAGACAAATAGCCAACAAGTATATGAAAAAATGCTCACCATCTCTGATCATCAGGAAAATGCAAATCAAAACCACAATGAGATATCACTTATCTCCAGTGAGAATGGCTTTTATCAAAAAGTCCCAAAACAATAAATGTAGGCATGGATGTAGAGAAATAGGGACACTCATACACTGTCAATGGGACTGCAAACCTGTACAACATCCATGGAAAGTAATATGGAGATATCTCAAAGAGATACAAGTAGATTTATCATTTGATCCAGCAATTCCATTACTGGGCATCTACCCAAAACAACAAGACACTTTATAAAAGAGATACCTGCACTATAATGTTTATAGCAGCACTATTCAAAATTGCAAA